CTGGCATCCTTAGGATCGACAAAGCCTTCTCGTTGTATCATTTATAAATCTCGCAATCTGCGAAAACCCTTTTGCAATTTAGCCTTGCTTTATAGATAGTGAGATTACCATCCGTGTACGTCTTTCTTTTTGAAGATCTATTTACATTATAGGGGTATCACACCCTCTAGATAATCAGCCAAGTTCCAAACTTGATTCTTGTATATGGACTCCATTTCGGATTTATAGCTTTGAGTCATTCTCTCGAGTCGGGTGCCACCATGGCTTCCTCTGAGTGTGTAGGTCCATCTTCTTCTAAGATGAGTATTTCATTGTGAAATTATTCAGGAGGTTCGGTAACTCTTCCTGGCCTACGCAGTTCAGTTACAAGCTTAACTAGTGTTTCTACAATTGGTGCAGTAACTTCTGGTTAAGTTGTGTGGACAACTTCGGAACTACTTCCGGTTTGTTTAGTCATGTTTACTTTCACCAGAGATTCAATAATCTTGTCAAGCTACACTATCCCCACTTACTTCTTTAGCGAGGAAACTCCTTCTTGAGAAAGACGTCATTCTTTGTGGCAAACACTTTGTCCTTGGACTTTTGGTAGAAGGAATACCCAATTGTTTCTTCGGGATAACCTACAAATTAGCATTTGTCTAGATAGATATTCCATAACTTATATAGTGTCGTCTTGCTAGACTATTAGACGGTGCTCTGTTTAGTGTATATGTTATTGTTTTAAGTGCATACCTAGTGATAAAAAGCAGATCGATAAGTTATGAATTAATTCTACAATTATTCAAATGTTTGTTAAACTCATGACTCGAATATATTTCTTCATGATTGAAGAACCTTTTATCTTTTGTCATAATAATCCTTAACTTTATACTGAATTTCTTTGAACATTTCAAATATTTCAGACTTTATGTTTTATTAAGTAAATCATATTTTCTTAGAAACATTAGCGAAGTATAAGTATTCACCACGCCTTGGTTTGCTAATCAGACCACATACATCTCTATGTACTTTGTCAATTGATTCAAAATATTATTTCCGATATAGCAGTGCCAAATTTAAGAGGTGTTTATCAGTCTTCTCAAAACATTTAGCATTAATGTTATAAATATTCAATTCAATGAATAAACCACTAACAATATAGGTAAATCAAAAACATATTCTTATAGCAACTTGAACGACCATTGTTTAAAACTTATAAGAATATCCATTGTACAACCCAAAACATACTGTTTTACACAACTCTGGAACGAAATAACTATTATTTACTTCTAATATAAATCTTGAAGATAAACTACAGACATGACTTTGACGGCTTGAGTAGCGATCCCATCACAATTCCCAACTTGTATCACGACTTAACTTGCACGCTTTTTGTAGTTCCTATATTGGTTTGTAAATAAGATCAACCGGTCTGTATCAAACACTAATGGCTTACATGAAATCAACAAGTAGAACAACATTAACTTTGTATAACTTTTTAGACCTTTACTAGCAGAACCGTTCTTCTTCTTATTCGCCAAGTACTTCTTGCAGTTGCGCTTTCAGTGTCCTCTTTGTTTGCAGTAGAAACATTCAGCCTCTTTAGTGGCTCCGCCCTTGTTCCTCTTCTGAGATACGGTCTTACCGGCGCGAGTAGACTTCTTCTTGGAATTGTCCATTCTTCTTGAAACTGGCGGTCTTATTGACCATCAACACTTGTTTGTTCTTTTGCATTCCAGCTTCCGCAGTTTTGAGCACATCAAATAACTCATCTGCACTCTTCTCCATCCCGTCCAAATTCTAGAGAAGACGGTCTATCAACATAGCTAGCAAGCTTCACTATATGCTCACTAATTGACGAACCTTCTGCCATCGGTACAGATATTGTGCTTGCTTCACTCCCCCCATCTTACGATGGTTTTTCATGAAAGAATAACAAAATCGATAACGAGGAGAGCTGTATAGTGAGGATGTGTATGAC